AGCCAACACTTCTCACCTGCACACAGGGACAGGGGCTCACTGAGACCACCCAGCAGCCCCAAACACTGAAGTTCTGAGGGCAATGGCATGCAACAGCTGATAGATATTGCCCATATTGCATCACTTTAGCGTAATTCATTCATTAATGTCAGAGTAATTAGCAGTGTAAACAGCAGCAGGCAGGGGTCAGCAGCCATTCACCCTGCAAGCTAAAAGGAAATGTTACCCCTTTCGTTTTCTGGCGGTTTCTTAGAGCAGATTGAGAGCTCTGGGTTTCACCTCACTTGTCAAGGACTGAATATTATTTGGGACACATAAGATATTAAAAAAAAAGGACCCATGGCTCTCATTTGCTACTATGGGAACAGTGATCAAAACTTTGAAAACCAGGCAATGCAGGAAAAGGGCTGCAAGGTTATTGCTGACACAAATAGCTAAAGAGATAAATACAAATGAGAAATGCCTGAAATAGGAGAAGCAGGAGACCTAGGAAATAATAAGCGAGCCTTAAGACCCTGTGTGGGAGGAAAAGGTCATTTCAAAGAAGTTTTGCCCTAGTGATTTCGAAAGTGGGCAGCAAAAAGATACTGCCCAAACTGCTGTCTCCAGCTGATGGTGAGGACTGGAAAGGCTCAGAGGGATGTACAGTGTGACAGGGTCTGTAAAAGAATTGAGGTTAGAAAGTGACCTGGGCTGGCTCAGCTGAGCTGACAGCAAAAATTACCTACAGAGCTGGCAGAGCAGAGTCAAGATTATTGCTGTTTTTAGCAAGTTTCACTTATTGCTCTTTTCATTGATGGCTGTGAAGGGAGGAAATATTGGCCAGGAAGTGTTTCTTCTGCACCAATTAAATGTGGTTAAAAATAGAGAGAGAAATATTAAGCTCCAGTGTTAGCAAGAGTTGATATATGATGATTAGTGGGAGATCTAGAACAGGGGAAAAGTGTGTCTCTATTCAGTTCAATTCTTCAAGGGATTTAACAAAATAATGATAGAAAAAAAAATAGAAAGTAGAAAGAAAAGAAGTAGAAATTTCAACAGAAAAAAAAAGGGTGGCTATGAAATTCCTTTGAAATCTTCACTTTAAAGTTTTTTAAGAGACTGGGCATACAATGTGAACTGTAAAGTTCTGCCAAGAATCAGAAAAGAAAAAAAAAAAAATTTGAGGCTGCCCTTGCTGTGTCCTGCTCACCTGGAGTAACCCCACAAAAAGTGATGCAGCCACTCACTGATCTGTAGCTGAGGAGCAGGAACTGGATCAAATGCACCCAGCAGGATCAAAACACGGCTGTTAGAGCTGGCTGGGATCTTTCCAACATTAAGTTTTGTCAGGATGGGCTGATTGAATCAGAAACTTGGTGCCTGCAAGGATTGAATTGGCAAACCAGCGCTGTGACAGCTCTTCCTGGCCTGAAGGTGTTTTGGGATAGGGCAGGCAGCAATCAAGAGGGGTCCTTGTCACCTCAACAAAAAGCCATTTGCAACAGTTCCTGGAAGGGAAAATCCATCTGGGCTTTTAAAAGCACCAAAAATACCACAGCTGGTTCATGAATTCCCTGAGTCTGGAATACCCAGCAGCTGGCAAGACACGTGAAGAGTACACTTGCCTTCGTGTTGTGGCCAAGTGTGTCCAGGGCCCAAGGCAGCACAGCTTTACCCTCCCAAGCCTGTCAAGGTTGTGGCTCTGGCTCAATCTTCCCCACCCTCATATCAAGTCCTATCTCAGATCCTCAGAACAAAATGAGATCTGAAGCCAGAAAACCCCTTTGATAGTGAGAACATAAAGCTAGTTTGGTGCAAATAGCAGAGCAATCAAATTTTGATGATGAAACACTTTGTTCACATTTTCTCTATGTGTCACACAGACAATGCAGTAGCCCAAGAGGGCTCTCACATTGGATCACTGGTTTAAATCTGTCATTTGTAGCACAATAAAGTGAATTGTCAAACATATTTCTGTCCACAGTAGCAAAACAGCAATTAATCCATGCCCATAAATACGGGGGGGAAATGCTAATACTGCAGTAAACCAAACAGCTTCCCTCACTAACATATTTTGCTTTTCATAAATGAGACCTGAATTCTCAATGTCTCTCTGCTAATGGGAAAATTCTTAAAACCTAATTAAAAGGTCTCTATTCATTGGGCTGTGGAGGATTTATAGCAGTGAAACTGCCTGTGTCAGACAGATATGCTACTGAGAGTCCTGTGGGAGCTAATGATGAAGGGACTGCAAGTAAGAACGGAGGGGAAAAGGAACTGGGAGAGAAAAAAGAACTGGGCAGCAGTGTGGGCATTGTTTCAGACAGCTGTGGTGGTGTGCAGGGAGGCTGGAAAAGGGACAGGGCTGGGGACATGCTGGTGTCAGCCCTAAAAACGTGCTGGTGAGATCCAGTGACTATGGTAAAAGCCACTGAGGCTTCTGGAAGGGCAACAGCACCAGCATCTGTGAGGAGAAACACCTGTGCTGAGAGCTGGCTTTGCCACGGATGAACTTGATGCAAACCTCACAAATTCAGGGGGAGTTCACAGCATTTCTCATTTCACGGCCACTGAACAAACACTGCTTTTCTCCCAAAGTAAAACCAGTTTGCCCAAAGCTGGAACAGGCTCTTGCACAGCATTACAGGCGTTTTCATGCCAGGCAGGTAAATAAAGGAAAGCAGCCCAGCTCTTTCACCAGCCCTGCCCCACTGAAAATGCTTAATTGGTGGCAAATGTCCCCTTCCTACGCCTTTAGAGAGCCACTGTGTTAAATTCTGAGCTGGTCACCAGTGCAGAGCACAGGCACACAGCACTTTGCAGACAAGGGTCTCTCACTGGAGATATTCCAGAGCCATCTGGACACAATTCTGTGCTCTGGGATGCACCTGCTTGGGCAGGGAGGAGAGGATGGCTCACAGGGATGAGCCACTGTGGTGCCTTCAGCCTGACCCATCCTGTGAAGGGCTTTGCAGTGGCAGCACCCACTGCTGACAGAAGGTTTCATTGCTTACAAACTGAACTGTGAGCTTCTGGTTGTTGGAACCCACTGTTCCTCTGCTCTACAAATGCTGTTTCTGGGTTTTAGTCCCAGCCTGGTCGGACTTTGTTTGGAGTGGTTCAAAACCTCTTTGTTCACCTCCTCGATAACAAAGGAGAGGTTTGGAACCTTGGTGGAGAACATGAGACCCCTGTAAAAAAGAGTTTCTGAAGAACCCAGGCACCCTTTCCTGCCTTCCAAATGTCCTCCTCACTCAGCAACAGGAGCAGCCACTTTCACTAATGCCCATTTAATTGTTTGCATTAAGAAGGGCCACCTGCAAGGGGAGAAGCTGAGAGGGGAATTATGTGAGTCAGAAGGAAACTTTGGAAGTTGGGAGCCCCAGCCAGCTGCTCTCACCTGAAGGTTTCAGGACTGGGGCTTTTCCCCTCATTCTCTCCTCTAGCCTGGACTGGAGGTAAATCCCTGGCTCAGTCTCTTTGCCCCTTTAAGATACTTTTACTTAATGAAATTGCATTGGGAAAGTAAGAAAAAAGACCTGCTAATAACTTAAATTGTTGCCACCTCTACAAGCCCTGCTGTTTGTGCTGGGATCTATTCAGAGTAACTGTTATTTAGTAAATGCTTTGTTTGCTATTCCTAAGAGTAGTTTTATACAAACTTTGATTAGAACGTTCCCTACCAGTTACGGGAGTGAACACACTCATCAGGAATTTGTCAGAGGTTTTCTTCCCGTGCTGGAACTAAACTTGGCTATTGTAACTGCATGATGTAACAACATGATTGCAAGCCCTAATTTGGTGAATTTTTTGGTATTGCATTGGGCTCAGAGATTTGCAGTGTTCAAAGCAAGTGATCCCTATTCCTGGCCTTTGGGAAACACAGACCTGCAGAGGGTGTGAAATGATGGGACACCCTCAGCTGAAATGCTCCTGAAAAAACAGATTTCAGGTGAGAGGACATCTGGGAAGTTCTTTAAAGGGCAACCTTGTCGTTCTCCCTTTTTTTATCCAGACATTGGAAGGTGAAATTAATTTGTTTTAGCTGTTACCAGGGTCAGAGCTTCAGTCTGGCATGAATATTTGGCTCCTATTCACATTAGGTGGGTCATCCTAGTGCCAACAGGACTTTCTGGGACTTTCCTAATCTCATTCACTTCACCTTTTAATAGAAAGAAAGAAAACAAGTTTATTTGTATCCTTGGAGAGACCAATTCCTGTGCCATGGTTGCAGCAAAAGGGAAGAATGAATGGGGAGAGGATGAGGACAAATGGCTTTATGTGTTCCATCTATAATCTTTATGTTCCTCTAGGATATAAAAATGTGAGTCCTCTGTCTGTGGGACTGATGGAGAGAAAATGAACTCTTCAATAATCTCTCTCTCTTTCTTCCTCTTTTTAGTTGGTTAAATCAAATAGGCTGTGTGCACAGAGACTTCTACAAAGCAGATGTGCCTTAAATCCTGTGCTTCACTAAAGTTTGGGGCATTCCTGTCTTGAACTCATCCCTCTCTCATAACACAGCTCAAAGGAAGGTAAGATTCAGGAGAAGGAAATAATTTTCTCTTACCATCCTTGTACCTTTTTAGACATTTTAATATGAAAAAAAAAAAGCTCATGGAATAGTGAATTCTTGCTTTAACAGCTCCAGAGTTCCTGCTTGCACTTCAGGTTACCCCTCTGACTACAAGTCACCTGAAGCTCGGTGTGGGCCACTGATGGCTTCAGAAAGCCTGATGTGACTGTCAATGGTCACCAGGGAAAACAGCCCAGCAAATATTCCTGCTTGGGCTGGTGGATTTCAATCTGATTCCAGGAAAATGCAACAACAACCCCAGACTGAGGTGACCAGTCCCTTTTTCACCTGCCTTCACACGCTGGGAGGCAGCAGGGCTGTCTTGAGCCCCTCCATTCCTGCTGGGTCAGTGTTTGCTCCTGCAGGAACAAGGCTGGAATTGCTAAATCAGCCTCTTTCCCAGGTTTTGGGAGACAGCCTTCTGTTCCAAGCTCTTGTCTACCTCATCCTCACAGAAGAAAGTTGGCAATCTCTCTCCTCAGGAAGGCAGCAGGATGAAAGAAGCAGATTTCAGCAGGTTCTCTGTTTCACCCCTTTGCCATCCAGCTAAACTTAGATGGTGTCTTTCCAATTCTCCATAACAAACATCCTGGACCTAAAAGTAAGCAAAGCTGGTTTTGAAATCACAAATTAATTAGGTTGGAAAAGACCTCTGAGATCATGGAGTCCAAAAAATTCTCTTCCACGTGCTGTGGGGTGTGGTTAATTATTCAGAGTTGAAGTCATGGGAGTAAAATCCATCTGAAATGCAAGATCCCTGTAGGAGGTGGGGGGGGAGATGAAGTCACAGCCCAGCACTGTTTGCCCCACTTTCCCTGAAACCACAAGTGTCCAGGGATGAAACAGCAGGAGTTGAGCTTTAACTGGGACACAAGGAGGGCAGAAGCTGCCCCAACCATGGCTGGACCCTGGATCTGGGGCAATCCCTGACCTGAGGGAGCTGCACCTCTGGAGCCAGTCCTGAAGGCTGCATGGGAAGGGCTGATAATTGCAAACTCCATGTTTTCCTCCAGTTTTCCTCTTCTTCAGCAATACTGGGACAGGAAATATGAAGGGACTAATTACCTGAGTGTAGATGCTAGCTCTGAAACAGAGAGCATGTGAAACTGCAGGCCACATAGCTTTCTCAGTCTTGCCTGAGAAAGTGGCCTGAGAATTCATGAGGAGGATTTAAAACAATCCTCAGAGACAGAAAACAGCCTTGCAGGTGCTGTTTGTCTGTTCCTTGTTTTCTTTGCAGGACAAGGTCGGGGGATGGTGTGCCCTACTGACCAATGATGATGTAGTAGTTTACTAACCAATAAGTTTCTTTTCTGTACTTTCCACGTATCGGTCTATAAAAAAGACCTGAAGTAATAAACTAAGAGAAATTCTCCTGATTGACTCCTAGAGAGTCTGTGTCGTTCATTCTTGCCGTTCCTAATAGAGTGACACCTCAGGTATTTATTTTTTCTATACAAATTGAGCACTTTTGGGTATGCCCAAGTCCCTGAGTGCTCTCCCTCAGGGCTCAGTTTGGTTGTCTGCACCCTTAGTGCCAGCTGCAATAGCCCATAGGACCTGGAGAACTCCTGGGAGTTCTAAGCACTGCACAGAACCTGGGGAATTTGCTTTGGGGCACCCAACACCCCGGTGTGAGCATCCCAATCCATCCCCAAGCCTCTCTTCCCTGTCATGGTTCCTGTGCACAGGTGGTTTAAAAGATTTCCATAATCCAGGAGTTCTGAGGGGTTGTGTTTCCCCCTTCCCCTGCCTCCTTTCACCAGCATCTGAGCACATCCATGCTCGAGCTTGCTGCAGGAGCAAGGAATAGATTTTTTCTGGTTAATTTGTGTACTTAATGACCTCGAGATAGAATTGTTTTCCTTTGGCTCAGGCCAGCACCAGGATTACCCTGAGCTCCTCCTAGCCTTTGTTCTTGCTCCCTGGTCGTGCTCAGACCCCTGCTATCAGCATACAGTGGCATTTGATCACCCCAGTACTCACAAGTGCCTCCTCCCATACCCCAGCCCTGGAAGAACTGGCACCACACCACAGGCTGGTCCCTGAAGGCTGCATGCCACAAAATCATAGCCTGGTTTGCATTGGAAAGGACCTTAAAGATCATCTGGTTCCAACCCCATGACATGCCACAGGGTCCTGGTGACAGCTTCTCCTGGGTCCCTCTGTTGATGTCAGGGCCACACCTGCCCTGGCTTCCACTGATGGGCGGCCAGTCCTGCATCTAAAATAGCCACAAACTCAGATTATATAAATAGCCCCAGCACAGGTCAATCCTCTAAGCAAAGGCTGCTTAGAGAGTGTAGGTTCTGATCCTGGCCTGCTGTCAAAGGCAGAATATGTTAATATTCACACTTTAATTTGGTATTTTTTTCTATTCATACTGGTCCCTCTCTATGCCTGCAGCCAAAACGTTGCTGGTGTGTCCCTGAGGAGCCTCCAAGGGGTTGTCACTGCCTTTCCCTGTGCAAACAGGCAGTGCTGGAAGCTGGGAACATCAGCTGTTCAAAGGTGTGAACACAGGGGATGGCCTGGCTGTGGTGTGAGAGCAATGCCACGAGACTGGGCAGTGCCAGGGACGGGGCCTGTGACCAAGGACGACCCTGTGACCAAGGACAGGCCCCTGTGAGCAAGGACAGGCCCCTGTGACCAAGGACGACCCCTGTGACCAAGGACGACCCTGTGACTAAGGACAGGCCGCTGTGACCAAGGACAGGCCCCTGTGACCAAGGACGACCCCTGTGACCAAGGACGACCCTGTGACTAAGGACAGGCCCCTGTGACCAAGGACGGTCCCTGTGACCAAGGACAGGCCCCTGTGACCAAGGACAGGCCTATGACCAAGGATGGCCCCTGTGACCAAGGACAGCCCTGTGACCAAGGACGGTCCCTGTGACCAAGGACGGTCCCCGTGACCAAGGACGGTCCCCGTGACCAAGGACGGTCCCTGTGACCAAGGACAGTCCCTGTGACCAAGGACAGGCCCTGTGACCAAGGACAGGCCCCTGTGACCAAGGACAGGCCGCTGTGACCAAGGACAGGCCCTATGACCAAGGACGGTCCCTGTGACCAAGGACAGGCCGCTGTGACAAAGGACAGCCCTGGGACCAAGGACGGTCCCATGAGCAAGGATGACTCTGTGAGCAAGGACAAGCCCTGTGACCCGAGACGGTCCCTGTGACCAAGGACAGGCCCTGTGACAAGCAAGAGGCTCGAGCACAGCCCCTCAGCTCCGAGTGGCAGTGATGATGGGCTGGGTCAGCAGGGTGGCCGATTTCAGCCTGCTCTGAGCCTAAACCAGGCATTTTCCCCCATCCCCTGGGAAGCTGCAGCCAGCTCACCTGGGATGCCCCAGGGCCCAGAGGTCCAGCCAGAAGGTCTGAGGCTGTCCCACCCTGTCCTGTTTCACAGAGCATTGCCCAATCAACACCTGAGACACTCTGACCGACCCGGTGCCTCTCCTACTCCTCCTTCTCCAGGACAGTTAAAGGCACTGGAGCCTTTCTGAGCTGTGTACAGCACGGATCGTACAGGATGATGCCCTAGAAACTTATTTAAATAAATCTTACACTTAGCAGATTAACTAAACATTTAGAAAATCTCTTTTCCCTTCTGAATATTGGCTTATTTTTTGAGTTAATTTATCTTGGGGAATGAAAATTGATTTGATCTTTTGTAGCACAGTCCTTGAGGTATGTTCTCAATGCCACTTTATTTTTCCTGATGTCACATATACAACAGAGTGAGAGGCACCCATACAGAATTTGAATGCAGCAACACAGCTTTATTTCCTGATTCTCTGCTGGTAGAATGGGGCTGCTCCCTTGGAGCTGCTGGATGGTTTCAGTCCAAAATTAAACCAGCTTTTCACCAACTCAAGAAAGAAGGAAGCTGCAATAATTCCTGATCTGATTCAGAAAAATGTTATTTTTGATCTGCTCAAACAGCAGCACTGCTGGGAAAGCAGATCTGTGTGTGACTGTGCTACCAGAGCTCAGAGAAACAAAAATCATTGGTATCCCGACCCTTACCCTCCCTCCTTTTCTGAGGAACAGTGCTCAAATTGTCTTTGTTTGCTATGTCCATCATGATCCTGTACTGAGCTACATTTTACCTCTGCACAGAACTTTACAGCTATAAGCACAGTGTTCACTTAATGTTCAGTGTTCCTTGGTAGTGAAGCAAGCTCCCTATGAAGTGTTATGTAGCAGCCCAGGCTAACTTCAGATGCTGGATTTTATAGATCCTGGATGCTGAAAAGGAAACTCCTGAGCTTTGTCTCTGGGTCACTGCTGCCCCACAGCCAGGGAGGTGGTCAGGATTCAGGGTAATGTCCATCTGCAGGCTTTAGGCAGGATGTGTATCTAAAGGAAACAATCCCTTTTGAGGCTTTTATTTTACTCAAACACTCTGATTTTAATTGTGAAGCTTTTTTACTGTTTTAATTATTTTTAGTCACTTTTGATTAACATGTTTTTAGTACATTTAAAGCAGGTTAATGGCTGATCCTGGGCAAAGGGAAGCTCAACCATCAAGCTGGGCATTCCCACCAGCCTGGCTCTCATTTATCACTGGGTGTGTTTTCTGCCAGGTGCTACGTAAGTTATCTTCAATACTGTGAATCACCAGATCAATACTTTTATATGTGTGTGCAGCAATATTTTCTATTTGCTTCTTAAATTATGCAAGTGATGGGAAGCCTTCAAGCAGTGCTCAGTCCTAGGGACAAAATGAACAGGCGCTGCAAGTGATGGGGAAAAAAGAGAAGAAATTGGTTTTTCTTTAGTGAGGCAAATACGGGCAGGCCCAAAGAAGACAGGATTTGCAGAGAGGCTTGTTATTATTCCTCCTTTTTTTTTACCAGTGTTTGGTAGATTTGGTACCTGTGCTTTCAGGTAAAAGGCAGAGCAGTGGTGCAGTCCTTCCACTCCAGGCTCTCCCTGCCTTGCTGGATGATGAGCAGAGGTTGTAGCACTGAGGAAATTGAGATTATGGGTCTGGTGGAGCTGCAGTTCTTCCTGCTGAAAAACCACCATTGGTTAAAAAGCCTGGAAGAAGCCCAATTCCTGTGTGTGCCTGTGGTTTCTATTGCTTCCCAGGAACTTCCACAGGGGATAAAGAGAGGTCATTAAATGTTACACTCATTGCAGTAATTGCTATCCATAGGGTCTGAGTAAGGCTCAGTCAACATTGCAGAGCTGGTGACGTCAGTGGGGTAGGAAAGGTGACACTGCTGCCTGCCAAGCTTTGGGGTGGAGGGGTTACCCCAGGCAGGCACCAGCTGGGTGCAGGCAGCCCTTGGGAAAAGGCAGCTTTTGGGAACAGGCAGCCCTTGGGAAGGGGCAGCCCTTTCAGGACTGCAGGAGCCCTTCCTGGGAGAGAAGATGCCCCATGGGCTGGGAGCTCTCCCGATAGCTCCCCTATCCCAGGGATGGCTCTGGCTCCATCCCTGCTCTGCTGCAGTCCTCACTCTTGAGTAATTATGGAGTCTTGTTATTTGTGTGATTCTCATGAGTGACAAACCCCCCGTGTCCTGCGAGTCCCTGTGAGGATGGGTCTCACAGTGCCATCCTGGTGTCTCACAATCACCTGAAGCAGCATTTCTGAATTTCCAGTCCCAATCTGTCAGTGACCAAAGCTGTTGTTGGCCAGCACAGCAGCTGCCAAAAGCATAAAGAAAAGAGCTTTATAAATATGGACACATGCCCATGCATATATGTGAGTGAACAGGAAAAGGGAAGTCACATAAATAAAGAAGCATCTCTACTTGTGAATAAAAAATCATTTGGCTGCATGGTCCAAGATGGTCCTGACTTTGTTTAAAATGACTGTGGCCCATGGGCTGAGAGAGCTGGGAAGGGCTGATCCCAGTGCAGCACATCTGGCACTGCACAGCAGGCAGGGCTGCCAGAGGCTGTTATTTATCCCACATAAACTGGGATGCTCCCAGTTTGCTCCATCTGCTGCCCCAGGGAGGGCAACAGCTCTGAGTCCTTGCAGCCATCCGAGGCAGTGAGGTGTGCTCTGCCTCTGCAGCCACTGATCTGGGCTCGAGTTTCTCTGTGGAGCCCAATCTCCACCAAACACACCCTTCTGGGTGTTCCTGGG